CTGGTGCTTGCTCTGCCAAAGACCTACGTATATCCTCTGTCCGTGCTTCCACCTCTAACGCTTGCCTCCAAGACTTTTCCAGGGCTGCACATCTTCTGTGGAACTCTGTGGACCTTTACTTCTCCGTAAGAATTTCACCCAGTCTCCACTCATTGAAAAAATCATTGAAAACTCAGTTCTTCAAGAAAGCATATCAATTAAGCTGTTAGCAGGTTTTTATCCCCCACCCTCCATGACTCCTCTCCTGCAACTGTCAAAAATTACCTACTAAGCCCTCCGTGAATACTTTTCTAACAACCTACTTTGTACCCCTACTTTTACCCTTTGTGTCACTATACCCCACTCCCTCTAGAATGTAAGCTCATGGAGCAGGGCCCTCCACCTTTCTGTTCATGTACGTCCAGTTGTTTGGTTACAATTATATGTCTGTTAGTCCACCCATTGTACAGTGCTACGGAATCTGATGCCGCTATATAAATAATTAAATAATAATACTATGTATGTTTTAGTGACTTTTTTTTTTGAGGTAGCATTATAATCTTCCTCTTCAAATGAATCAAGGAAATATCCAATCAAAGCATAATTTGATTGGATGCACTGAAGGTAAAGGTATCACTTATGAGCTCTGCTTCTTCTTTTCTACTTAAACATGGGGTTCTCTGGTTCTATTCCTGGTAGAGTCAGAGCGTTTCATACTTCTAAAGCTGTTTACATGTTTACCATTTTTGGGAGAATTGCTGTAATCGTATGAAAAACATAATGTCACTGAGCAATTTAAAGGAAAACATTTGGAATATTATTATTTGTTGTGTATACTATAAAGCATTTAGCAGTTTTAAAGTGATTTAGTTTTGTCTGTTATCTAATTTAATATTTTTTTATTATTATTATAAATATATTAAGTATTTTAGCTGTGTTTCTAATTGCCTGTTACTAGACGTTTATATTTTTCCAAATGCACAAAAAAAGTATTAGAATAATAACTCTAACTCACTTGTGTGTATCTGTAGACACCCAGTATTTGGGCCATTGGTATAGTTGTAATAGAATAATGATCTCCAATAACTCCAGCCAGCTTCCCTCCTTCAGTGCAGGAGTAATTAGGAATAGTCTTTCCTGGTCCAGATAAGATCTGTAGGATACTCTTCACAGCCTTCATTTCATCAGAACAGGAATCATACACATGATATCCCAGAGTAGCATTAGGTAATATTTTTGATTCCGTGTTTATATCTTGAATAGAGAGAAAGAAGGCCAACAGATTCTTGTAATGAATTGCCCGAGGTCTACAAAAGTAGAATAAATAGATTAAGTTTATATATCAGTTCAAGTATATTTATACAGATGTATTTAAAATAATAAATTTCTATGTGTGACATTCTATTTACCAAAGGGGGAGTTACTAACGGTGAGTTTAAAATATTACTAAATCTATACCCAAGCTGAGAATAAATCCATGTGTACTCTTCAGTGATTTCAAGCCAAGCTTGATGTTCAGGGCTACCACTCTATGGTTACTTGAGCTACCTCCTTCTAAAACCTGTGTGATTGGGTACGTGTGGTTAAAGAGAATGATCTGAAATAATGCTATAGGACTTGTATTAGATCCAATCAAATTTAATACTATATCTCAAATGTGTTTATACAGATATATATACAGATTATAATATGTTTATTGTGTAAGAATATAGAGAAAAAAAATGTTTGCTAGTGAAAATAACCAAGAAAAATATTAATTCAAAAAATTCCTACACTAGGTATTTTATTATAAATAAAAACATACACCAGTACATTAGGCAGGATTAAAATAATTTTGTATGAACAGAAAATGTCATAAAAAAAAATTGAGCAAAACATCTTGAGTTATGAGGTATTATTCATCCCATATATATCGAGAGTAGATTAACACACATTTATATATGTATATATATCAGAGCTAATTGTTAGTCCAGTCACATATCAGACCATAAAGTAAATATTTCTAGTTTGTAGAAATGGATGGTGATATATAAATTAGAATATTTTAAACATTTAGGAGGTAAAATCAAAGCTGCATGGTTAATAGTGCTGCAATAAATAAATTAAAAATAAGATGAAATTTATGGAAAAACAGATACATGAGATCTTAAAAGTAAATAAGAAGAGAATGAAAATGTTTCTACAAGAAAAAAAGAAGTTACTTACAGCAGGCATTGTCTGTAACTTATTATTTTCATTGGATGTTTTGAAAAACGCTTCATATAACGATTCACAGTAAACACTCCTCCGATAATGATGTCTCCATCTTCAAAGTATTCATAATCTTCAAAATAACGTATCATTGTCAGATCGCAGGTCAAGGTTGAGCTCTGCATTGCAGACATGGGGGATATTACACACAGGAACTGCAGACATCTCAGCACATGAAGATGATTGATAGTAGCAACAGCATGCCTCATTGTTTCTTTGGAAAACACAGTTTATCCAAGCAGAGTATAGAGTATCATATCATTTCTTGATGAATCAGCTCCGTAGCACGATGTGGAGCACAAAGTAAAGTTCTGTGTATAATGAGACTGAATCCTCTCCTTTTATTCACTGATGTGTAATAGTTGTCAATGCAGCCTGAAATAAGCTACAGACAGTTGTGGTTTGGGATTGATATTGTGTTCTTAAAATACCTCAAGCAGGTAGATTTTACAGAAATATAAACACAGATGGCTGCTTTTATTTTAAATGTTGTTTATCATACTGTAACCTTTTTCGAGAGAAGAAAAATAAGCTATTTTTTAAGGGAGTTTGCCATGAGTTTTTGGAGGGGCCTGCTTGCCAGCCTCATACCCTGGGACTATGGGCCCTGCAATAACCCATGTTCAAAAGTACTGTTTCTGGACTTTTAACTGGAACAGATTCAAACACGTGGCGGCGGCCATCTTAAATTGTCCAGCAGTGTTTTGTCGTTGAGTGTATGGAACTGTTTTGGGCATGGGACCATGTGCCCTGTTTGGCAAAAATAAGATTTCCAGGAAATTCCTGAACCCCTGAACCGACCTGGGTGATTTTTGGATATGTTGTTCACCCAGATCGGGTCTATCAGGGGATGTGACATTGTGGGGATATGCTGTATTTTGGGGTGCTTTTTGGGGTTTGTAAAAACATATGTTTAGATGTTAATTGAATTAATTGAGTTTGTCCATTGCCTTCGTTAATTATATCGCAGGTAGAGGGGAGGGATTGTGTACACTGTATGGGAGTGAAAAACTCTGTTTTTATTGGATTGTTAATTTCATGTCCTGTGCCCCACAAGGTCCACCTGGGCAGTAACCTTGTGGGGGAAAACTGGGAAAGAGCAGCTGTACCATTAAACTTTCAGTTCTTATTTTACCCTCAGTCTTGTATCTTATTGGGGGAAACTGCTACAAGGGATTTCTATAATCACTATACTCCCTTGGATAATCATTAGCTCTTGTAAGAGCTGTTCCTGCTTCACTCTCTGGAGGAAGAGACCCACTGGAACCTGGAGCCTTGTCGTAGGTCCAGGGTGGGTAGGAGACGGCGAGACCCCAACCAAGCTGCGGCGGTTCGTGGGGTCTGCAGTACTTATGGTGTCTGGAGAAGTGCTTGGAGCCCTCAGTAAGCACTAGGAGCATCCGTTGGCAGAGGTACCTGTTACGGACACTCTACAGACCCGTATTGGATTACCCTACGTTAAGTTACCGAAGTCGGTTCTTTTGGTATTATTGTTACCTATACTCCATTTACACGAACAACTAGGATTACATATTCATGCATACGAATTCAGACCACCCGGCCCCTGGCGTGTGCTGCCACTTAACCCTGTTGACCTCGGAAATAACCCAACGGACGACAACCGGGAAGCTGCGGTTTGCGGTTAACCACAACCTTAATTGACTGCCTCAGGGTGGCCTCGTTCGTCGACTATTTTCACCTTATTCAAACTCCCGAATGAGGACCACCTACACCACGGCGTGTGTCTGCACTTGAGGCTGCAGTTAACCACAGGCTAATTGACTCCTTCAGGGCGATCTACGTTCGGTTCACAAAGGGGTGGGACAACCAGCCAGAGAGCGGTATTCGTACAGCATGCTACTCGTGTTTCGCTCCAGGGGTTTTGAAGCCGAGACCCGCTCGCCTATTCATGGATAGAAAAGATGGCCACCATCTCGTGTTCGGGACAAAGAAACAGGAAAAGACTTATATACAAGAGACTGGCTATACCGTTCGTGAGGTCTGAGCGCTATTCGTCTATATGATGCGCTCAGACCCGAGCTATCTAATGAATGGTAGAATGTAAGGGGTATTTAGTAAACTGTTATAAATATATATTTTATGCTGTTTTTACATTTTGGAAATACACGTGGGACTCTGGGCACTTGGACATAATTGAATTGCCATAACCGTTAGAATCATTATCTCCAAGTGGGGCGGGGACTATTTCAAATGATACAGTCTATTGTCATTGGTCAACTGTGTGTAGTGTCCCGGTATCCCATCAGGTCCAGAGGGGGCTGTCCCTGGACCTGGGATTTTGCATAAATAACGCTGTCCCTGTGCCATTAAAGCCAGTTCGTGTTTGACCCTCAAATCGCAGCCTCGACTCGTTTTGTGGGAACCAGGGTATCCTAGCTAGACTAGAGCTAGTGGGATTGCTTTATATTCACAAGACTCTGGTGGTCTGCTGAACGGAACAGCACTCCTCACTCTCCACATTCGGAAACCAGGACATCCAAGCCGTCCAGCTTTCAGCTAGCCTGGAGGTAACCGTAACAGTACCCAACTGGGGTACATGAAGGTCTGTTACATTATTATAGGAACAATTCACTTTCAATAAAATTTTATGATATTTTCTTAACACATTTTTTAATTCCTGGCTAATCCATGGCAGCATCACGATAGGGTTAGCTCCTCCCCCTTGGCTGTTTCGGGCAGGAAACACTTTACAAATAGACCCTCCTTACCTGGTATCATCAGTCTTTCTTCCTGTCCTCCTGGCTGTGGACATGTTTCAGGTAAATTGCGTAACCTTTACTAGATTTTGTTTAGTTTACCTCTTCTTTCCCAGGAGAGTTAATCCTCTCTCTCCTGGAAATTCTAAGATCTGTGAGCTTTTTAATGTGACAGAATATATAAATCCATATTGTAGTGGATGGCACTGGGCTGTCCTGAGAATTGCATATGTTTTGAATGCATTTGTGTAAAAGGCAAAGTTATATGTGTTAAATGTATTGTATACGTCTGATTGTTCGTTAGTTTCATTCCCTTAGTTTGTTCGAATGAAACTACCGAACAGATAGACCTCCCCTGTGTGAAGTGTGCCTTCAATTACCCATTGCAACATTGTTGCGAACGGGTAATTGACATGCTGAGTAGCCGTCCTTTGTTCTCGGGGGTGGCCGCCATTTGGGAAATGAACACGTGGCGGCGGCCATTTTAAAACTCCCGAACAGCGGTGTTTTGCCATCGAGTGTCTGGAACTCAAATCGGACACTCGACTAGGCGAACACCGCTGAGACCTCCACAAGCCCGGTCAGTTCGGTTCCAAACTACCGAACGGCCCTTCGTTCGGTAGATAGAAACAACCGAACGAGGGGATTCAGATGAAACCTCCCTAGTCTCTGTAACTGGAGGCTTTCGTGCAGTTTCTTCCCTTACTCCAGGACCAACCGCAGGGCCCCATCGCATGGAACCCCATTCGGCTGTTCTTTCCAGCGCGGTCAGTCATTTTATTCCCTCCATAAATTTCCCAAACCCCTGGTCTGATCTAGGTGATTTTTGGATATGTTGTTCACCCAGATCAGGGCTACCAGGGGATGCATAATTTAAAGAGCTACCCCTAGGTTTAGGGGTACATCCAGAAACGGGGGGAATTGGTGTCCTGGATAAGGGGATTATGATGCAGTCTGAGGGGAGGAAATGTGTGGGAGGTTACTAGAACAGGATTGGCTACTGTACTGATTAATGGAAATCCCTCCCTTGCATGGGAGCAGGCTTTATAAGGCCACTGTCTGAATAAATCTTTAGTTCTGCTCCTGATACTGTGTGTCGTCCAGTTATTGGGATTGCTGTTGGGATACTGCTGTGATACTTTTCCTGCTGGATACTCTGCCCTATGGATTTATAATTGCTTGTTCCCAAAGTGGAGATAGGCTGTGTAATACCAGCTCTCCGCTACACATATATCCTTACTATTTGAAGAATTCCGCAGTGATCTTTTAATAGCGGTAATATATTACTGTGATCCTAAGGGTTGCAGTTATTTATGTGTGAGTCATGCATTAAAACATTACCGCAGCGATCCTATGGGTAGCGGTGTGTGATGTATGCACTTTTTTATCTATGATAATTCCACAGCGATCCTCTGGGTAGCGGTTATTATGTGTGACACATGCATTAAATCATTCAGCTTATTGCCGCAGCAATCCTATGGGTAGCGGTGCATGTTGTATACACATACTTCTTGTGAATTAAATTCGCAGTGTATAATTAATTATTTATATGGGGGACCTCCTTAAAAGAATTGCCTATGGTTCTTGCACTCACCTTTATTTAGACTTTCATTCGGTAGTTTCGTGCCATTTCGCCACCTTTGTCGGCATTCTCCTTTATGTGCTGTGGTCCTATTTGTCAAGTTTAGACGATTTGTGTTCGTATGAATTTTCTTTGATAGCAGAATACTAATTTCTTGTGTGGTACGAACGGTCCGTTCGTTTTCTTTTCATGAATTTATGTTTGATTTCACTTGTCATTTCAGCACAAAATTCAGATATTTGGGCATGCGCATTTGAATGGTTGTCTGTTTGTGGTCCTGTCTTATCAGGTTTTTTATTTAAAAATACAGTTTTCTCCTCTCCTTTGGAGTAATTGATGTCCCTTTGCTCTGGCAATTATTCCTGTAAGTGCAGGTAAGGTATTTTTTTTTCTCCCTTTTTCTCCTTTCCTCTTCTTTAAAGGTGTATAAATTTCTTTAATTTTTAATTCTTGTCATTTTTCTTTCTATTAACCTAGCTGCCCTTATGTCGGCGTCTAGATCTTCAAGGTGGTGTCCTTCTAGGCATTCGAGGTAAACTTGGCTTTTTCTCTTGTTTGAAATTAAAAGAGTGCATTTATTTGGCTGCTTCAAGTCCTCTTCTTTCCGCTTCTTTCTGTGTCCATGAATTTGACACATCTGAGAGATTGGGTGGAGGCAAGAAATCTCATAAGTCTGACCGATGTATAGCCTGTGATGCTAAAGCTTTGGAAGGAAAGAAATTATGTAGTTCCTGTCTGTCTGAAGCAGCTGGTTCTCCTAACGATCCTTCTCCAGATATGATTAAGTGGATTCAGATGGCTGTGGATAAATCTATGGAACAGCACAGATCTCATAAACGCCCAAGAATCTCTTCTCAAAGAGACAGGGAAGATTCTGATTCTGATTCTTACGCATCATTTGTAGATGTACAATCTGAGGAAGGGGAAGGAATGTATTTCTCAGAAGACTCAGCCTCGGTGGAGGAACATATGGATGTTAAGACCATTGAGAAACTGATAAAGGCTGTTAGGTATAGCCTGAAGCTTGAAGCCAACCTCTTCAAGTATCTTTCCAGAACTTGTAAAAAAGAGGTCTTCCTTTCTGATCCATGATGCCATTAAAGAATTGTTTGTAAATGAATGAAAAAGACCCCAAAAGAGGATTTCAGCTCGAGGGAAAATGTCAAAACTGTATCCCTTTTCTGAAAAAAAAAAAAATCTGCAGCATGGGATAATGCACCCAAGATTGATGCAGCTATTATTATATTGGGGAGAAATGCAACTCTGCCTCTGGATGAGGTAGCATCTTTTAAAGATGCCATGGATAGAAGAATTGATAATAGCTATATTAATAAGGGCAAGGGGAGGGTTGGTGTGCGGGGGAGGAGGGGTGGAGCATAGATGGTGGATTTGGCACTATAGGGTCAGAGATACATCTTTGAGTTGCTGACCCTATAGTGTTTCTATAACAAAACAAGAGTTGGGGATAAAGGGTGCAATAGTTATCAATTTTGCAGTAATTTGGGGATGGAGGTAGATAGGAATACAATTAACAAGAGAAATACAAAGTTGGGGATGGAGGTAGATAGGACAAAATAAGTAGTGAATGTAAATCATCCAGAATTGCTCATCTTGGCCACTGTTCAGTGTAAAACAAACAGTGCCCTATCAGCTTCTCTCAACTGCAGAGGTAGAAGGCACCACAAAAATCAAGGTAAAGAGGGACCATGAGCAAAAATCTTGACACAATGCATAGTTAGAAACATTATGAGTTACAATCTAAAGGTTATAATTGTGGTGTGAGATAAGAAGTAGCAGGTGGAATTTGGAAATGATAGAGAAAATTAAAAGAAGCAGCAGCTATGTGTAAAATGTAAAGAGAGTGAGGAGGCAATTGAATAAGCTCTCAAACAGCTGTATAAGCAATGTAGTTAGAAGTAACATGGTGGGCAGGAGGAGGTGCAGGTTGTTAGAGAAATTATAATTCTCAGTAATGATAATAGCTCTCATTCAGGGATGGAGATAAGACAGTTATATAACATTATTGAAAGCTAGGAGGAGCAACGTATGGAGGTAGAGGGAGTGGGCAGGGAAAACATTTGTTGTATTCAATTGTACATTTTACCAACCAGGTTCTATCACCCCAAATATTAAAGGAACACTTTAGTAAAAGGAGAACACATGTATTTTTGATACTGCAGGTTTAAAAAGTGATTTAGTTCCCCTTACCTCTGGTTTACTCACCTTTGTAAAGTTCTGAACAGGTCCTGTCGCATTTAGCACTGACTGCACTCTGTCCCCTTGGTGGAGATCATCAAACTTGATGATCTCAGCCAAACAAATGCTTTCCAATATCAAAGCATTGGGAGGCTATTGTGCATTCACTGAAAAATGATGCATTGTGCCAGTCAGCATCTCCTCATAAGGATGCATTGATTCAGTGCATGTCTATAGGTAAGTTTCAGAGTCTCCATGCAAAGAGTCTCCATTGTGCAGACCTGACCCAGGAAGCACATCTAGTTGCCTCTAGTGACCTCTAGTGACTGCCTGAGTGAAAGCCACAGGAGGTGTACCTAGGCAGTAATGTAAACATTACATGTTATATTAAAATACCTGCGGGGACAGGCTGTAGACACCAGCACAACTACAATAAGCTGTAGTTGTTCTGGTGACTATAGGGTTTTATAAGTATATGAAATATTGGTAGAAAACAATTAATAAAAATAACAATAAAATAAAAATGTAGATAAAACTGAAGTGATAACTACAGATATAGGTTGTGGCGTGTCAGGGGTGGCAGTCCGATGACCGGGACCCAGTATGCCTGAACTTGATAGTAGGATTCACTCTGTGGAAATGGATTATTAGCGTCTGGTGCAGGGTAACCGCACGTCTCCTGGTGTTGTGCACCAGCATTTGTGCGGCCACATACCATGGCCCTGATGCAGCTTCTGCGGATCCCAGGTGCCAGATGACCATAAGCAGACCTCCCAGGAGCTGAATAGGGAGGCTCTGCAGCAGATATGTCTCGAGTACAGAAACAAGGCAAGGCTAGAATAGACACCAAACAAGAAAACAAGACAAAACTAGGAGAACCCAGAACCGGAGCAGGACAGAAGGAACCCAGAACATGTACACAAGACATGAGGAAAACAAGAACAGGGCAAGACAGGACTGTACATGATCTGGGAATACAAGACAAAATAAAACAAGACAAGAGATACAAGGCAAAACAAGAGGAGACATAACTAAGTACTATATATGTAAAACATTGGAGATTTAGACATACATAAATGACCAAGATGTATGCAGCCCACCACTGCATTAAAGTCCTCCAATTATGATGGGTTCCTATCTACCTAGATATGCATGACTAAATAAACAATGATAAAACCCACCTTACCTGCAAGAAAAGGCAGAGGACTTGAAACAACTGCATGCAGGAACCAACTGAAACAAAAGGATTCATGGAAAAGGAAAGGGTGTGGCAACATAAAACAAACAAAGGAATCCAGGAGACAGGGAATTCCAGGAATGGAATAAAGGAATGAATCAGAAAACCCAGCATAAAGAAAATCAGACATGGAATAGAAAACCAGAAAAAACAAGAAAAACTAAACAAGAATTGTAAAAAGAGTACTGGATACCAAAAGCCAAGGCCAGACATCTCCGCAGAACAGAGCAGGATGTGAATTGGCGGACCGCCTGGCACCCCGACTAGGTACCCCTGCCAGTCACGCTTCCTATTGCTCACTGAATACCATAAGCACTGCACCAGACACCATAACCACTGCAGCTTGGCTGGGGTCTCGCCATCCCTTCCCACCCTGTACCAAACACCTGGATACAGCTCCCAGTTGGAAGACCTCTCCTCCAATAGTATAGCCAGTAAAACTGGATAGCCAGTAAAATAGCAAGTAATATAGCAGTATAGCTGTTCCCCCTATACATGAGCCAAGGCTTAATGCTGGGAGTCATCCGGTTTATTGGAGGCCACACATGGCCTTTTATACAAAAGCCCCTGCAAAGGATTTCCAAAACAAGAATAGTACCCCCCCCTCAAAAGTACCCCCAAAATCCAAAGAAAACACAAAAACTTTACATTCTCGTATAGACCTAATCTTGGTTACCAACATATCCAAAAATCACCCAGATTGGTTCAGTGGTTCGGTTTTTCAATGAAAGTCTATTATTTGACCGACCGCACACATGGTCCTATGCCCAAAACAGTTCCATGAAATCAGTGCTAATGGTCGGTCTATTTTGGGAGAATAAAAGTGCATAAAATACCAAACAGAATCCATAGTTAACATGTGTAGCTTGTTCACCTTGTTCGTGTGAACAATTCCACTGAACATCACCCTTTTAAGTTGTATAGAACTGAACGGAGGCCATTATGGAAGTCCAGCGGTGTACAGGAGTTTCAGTGTCCGATTTCAGTTCAATGAACTCAACGACCAAACACCACTGCCTGCATTCATGTGAACAAGATGGCTGCCAGCTCGTGATCGTTCATACGAATTGCGGCAACCCAGACGAACAATTGGAACACTGTGGTGTAACTTGTCATTACAATGTGTCAATTGGGCTTAACAAGCACACGGGTGGTCTCTGGATCGTGCGGTTGTTTGGTTCCCGAACAATATAATCCCAAATCATACGAGCAGAGCCTTTTAAAGTGTATTTTGCATGGCCCTTAGTCCTGAGGCAGGAGGCTAGCAAGCAGACTCCTCCAGGAGCCCATGGCGAGGTTATGTTCGCACACAAACCCACCTCAACACGGAGGTATGGCCCCACGCCCAAATCATAGTTAGATGCATAGTTCGCCCTTCTACAGGGCTGCACTCAGGGCCTCACTTTTCAAGGCCACATGTTTGAATCTCCTTAACAGTCATCGAGAGGCCAACATCCCGCCACCACGTCTGTGGCAACAAACTTCCCTCAGCCAAATCATAGATAGAGCCTCTCACCGCCACTCGGCACTAGCAGGGCCTCACTTGTCACTAGTTCACAGTTAAGTTTTTCGCTTCGGAACCCCCCTCACACTCCCCTTTGTCCCCTCCTTCGTCCCTACTAAATCTAATTCACCAATTCATTTCTAGAATGTCTCAAGAACCAGTCCACACCGACGAATTGTCTGAACTTAGGCTAAGGGGCATCCCCTTTCCAGCTACAGCTAGAAAGGCAGAACTCAACAGGCCCCAAGCCTAGGCCAGGCACTAGCTCTCAAGGACAACCATCAGGCGCTTGCACGGCCACTCAGGACACCCTTGCAGCAATCATGGCCAACCTGCAGACCTTGAATAACAGGTTATCTAAGGTGGAGAGTGCCATCGCCTCCCCAGGTAACCTCCCTGACCTCTCAGCCCCCATCCCGGCAGTCTCTGCTACAACATCACACTCCCCTATACATCCCCCTCCAGCACCAGCCCCAGTTACGTCACCTTTTGTGTCACCAGCACACTCCGTCCCAGACTCCATTAGGAAAGAAATCCTAGATGGGAAGGACGTGTGTCTGGTGTCACTAGCCTCACAAGATGTGCTGGAGAACCGGGCATATAATTATGAGGATATCGCACTGGTGCTTAAAACCAGAGATCCCAGGTGTAACGGCACCCTCAGCATAAAAGGGTAAAAAAACGCCGTTTAGTAGATCTTCCCTTCTAGAGACACAGGCACAGCTAATGCAGAACACCAATCCGCCGAACAGGAAACCATATGAATGCCGTAAACAGCCGAATAGGAAAAACAATACGAATAGGTTTACACTCCTAGCAGTCAAACTGGAACAGCATACAATAAATCCCCCCAAGAATGAGACAAAGCTCTGTGTTGAGGGTCAAGCAGTGAACAGTCAGAGCTGTGGATTTATTGTGCTTATGTACACATTCTTACACATTAGTACCACCCACAGGGTTTTGGAACACAACCAATAAACACATACAATACACTCAGACACTCCCACACAAATTCCTCCCCTCTGCTTGTGATTCAATTACCTTACACAATGGGTAATGTAATTTAGCACAAGCAGAGAAATACAATTATTCCACATTATTCATAACTTGAAAAGTATGCATCACATTCGCATAAAACTTTTCAGAATCAGCATA